TTTTTTTTTTTTTTTTTGTGGTACTAGGGATTGAACTCAGGGCCACATGCTTGCTATGCAGGCACACTACCACTTGACCCACTCCACCAGCCCTACTTCTTTTTTTTTTTTTTAAATACCCCAACAAGCCCATGATTAGATAGTATTTTATTGAGACAATGCTTATTATATTTAACAATTTACCAAGCTTATCAATTTCTTCTCCTTATATAAGCCTCACTTCTGGGGGTAATTATTTTCCTCGTTAATTCATGCATTAGAAGTTCCCTAGTGAATGTCACCTGCCCGTTAACTCAGTTTGCCTTATCTGGGGGTACATGTTCATTTGGTCTTTATTCTTTCAAGGTAGCTGTGGTGGGTGCAGAATTCTAGGCTGAAAGCTGTTGAAGGTGGACTTCTGCTGCCTTTTGGCTGCCCATGGAAATGCTGAGAGGTTCACAGCAGGTTTACTACTGACCCCAAGTTTCCACAAGGGCGCATCTGTCTTTCTACTTTCAAGATTTTCATGCTCTACCTGCCTACAATGCATTCAGTTGTGGAACTGTATTCATTTACCCTGCCTTTAAAAAAAAAAAAAAGTAGATTTACATGATTCATTAGTTGTGGGAATTTTCTTAAGAACTGCTTCTCATTCCCCTTCTAAGACCTGGAACCCACCAGGCCTTCTCAGATCCTCTGGGTCCCCTCCCTCTTGCTTTCCAACTCCTTGGCTCCCTGTGCTGCTTCCTGGACAGCTCTGCTGCACCACCTTCCAGCTGGCTGGTTTTCTCTCACCCATGGCTTGTCTGCTACATAGTCTACCTGGTAAGTTCTTTATTTCAATGACCACATTTTCTATTCCTCAAACTTTTTAGTTTTAAAAATCCATCTGCTCAACTGGATAGAGTGGCTCACACCTATAATCCTAGCTACTCAGGTGGTGAAGCCTGGGAGGACCTTGGTTCAAGATCAGCTCAAAAAGTTCACAAGAGCCCATCTTGACCAGTAAAAAACTGGGATGCATTGCTGCCATCCCAGCTACAGGGAGTGTTAATAGGAGAACAGTGGTCCAGGCTGGGAGACCTTATTCAAAAAAATGACTAAATCAAAAAGGGCTGACAGTATGTCTCAAGTGGCAGACCATCTGCCTAGCAAGCACAAAGCCCTGAGATCAAAACTCCAATACTGCCAAAAAAAAAAAAAAAGTAACTAGTTACTGATGGTCTCATTTCTTCACATATATGACTTCTTTCAGCTTCTTCATAAACATTTCTGTTGGAGTTGCCTTTCATCTGTATTCAATGATTCCCATATCCAAAGTCACTGAGATCTAAGTTTGCAAGCTGCGGTTTCAATGATTCTCATTTGTGGTTGCAGTGGTCTTGATCGTTGATTCTTCTACCAATGACCTTGATCTATGGGATACTGGGGGCCCCAGGTGGTACAGCTTTCCTCTCCAGAGGAAGAATTTGCATTTGCTTCTGTTGAGATCTGGGGACTGCCTCCAGCCTGGGTATACCTCTGGCCACAGCTTCCCACTATCCATGGCAGCAGCTGCTAAGGGCACCTCTCCAGGACACTTCTTTCCTTGGAGTGGTGCTTGCAGTGCACCACACTAGTTTGAGCCTCCTCCTTCCTCCCTTTTTCTTTCTTTTTTAGAGAAGAGAAAAATTAGACTTCAGAAATTTCTCAAATTCTGAGGCATTGCTAGACTCCAGGAATTAGCTTCTCCTCTGGATCTAATTGTTTTGTGTAAGAGCCCTTTGGCATATCTGTGTTTTTCAAATTACAGGAGTAGCTACCCAGCAGTATAATTTTAAACCTTCAAAATGTTAAAGAATTTGTTTCCAAAGTAACGTGGTTAAAAAAAAAAAAATCAATGATTGCTAGCAAGTGTGAGTACATCTCAGGTTTGAAGGTTGTCCAAAATTAGCAGGGAAGGGAAGGGAAGGCTAGCAGGAAAGAAATATCCATAAGTAAGTTTCAAGGTACTTTATACACAGAAGAAATAGTTGAAGACATGCAAACTCCAAAAAGAAACTAAACAGAAACACAGAAAGCCCTCTCAGAATGAACGCCTATAATCCCAGCACTCAGCAGGCTAAGGCAGGGGGATGGCAAGTCTGAGGCTAGCCTGGCCTACATGGCGAGAGCCTATCTCAAAAGAGCAAACAAAAATCGAAATAGCAAGATGAACTTACAGCCTAAACGCCAGGAAAGAAAAAGTCCCAACCTGAAACTCTTACTTTATGTGGGGCTGCAGGCCAGGTTGTTCCTCGTAGTCATCTATGAGGAAAGGCAGGTTTTTGGCCCAGTGGTCCTTAAAGCTTCCCGGCAGATCCATGTCCACACTGTACTCAGTGAGAGGGGTGTCGAGGTGTGCGTGAAGATACCGAGAGTACTCTGCAGACAGGACGGGAGATCTCACCACCCAAACAGCCCTGAAGAACCACTTTTATAGCCAGTTGCCACACAAACACTTTGGAACAAGTTGTTATCTAAATATAAGCACTCTAAAAGGATATCCTAAACATTAGTAAGGATATAATTACAAGAGAACAGGGACTCTGTCTCCTATGGAGCACAAGAGTCAAGTGGTGGGATTTCTGGAGCTTGGAGCTTGAAAGTCAATGACTGCAATTTTCTGACTTACCTCGGAGATATTTCACCTTCAGGTACTCTGGGCTAGCCTTCTGGCCAGGGAGAGGGTCATTGAGCATAACTTTTGTTTGTGCTTTAATCCCTTCATAAAACTGTCCCATGGCGACGTGGCTGAGCCCTTTCATATACTGGCACACTTCGTTGTAAGGCTCCAGCTGCAGGCAGCGCTGGGCATGGAAGGACAGACATTCTATCAGTATCAGTGCAGTCTAAAACAACTTTGCAACACTTTATTCTTGAATCTGGGATGGGAAAATCTCCCCAGGCCCAACCAGGTCACACACGTCTGCTGGTCTGGAGGATGAGGCAGCCAGCCTTCCCCTTCTTTCTTCTGTGGAGTGCTCACAGCATCTGAGGCCCCCTTCTCTGCTCACCTTGCTGAGCTCTCAGGAACAGCCCAGGAACTGCCTTTACAGTGCTTCCTGCTGACGGAGACTCACCTTGAAGTTCTTGAGGGCCTCCTGCAGGCTGCCATGGTGGTACAGCATCAGCCCCCGAAGCTGCAGGGTCTGCACATGGTTCTGGTTGAGCAGCAGGGCCTTCTGAAAGCTCTCGGTGGCTGCTTCGAAGTTGCCCAGTTCTCTAGATGTTAAGCAACAGTGATGAACACAGTGAAGACACTACAGACAACATGCAGAGCAAGCTGTCCTCAGCATCAGGTCCAGCTATGAACAGGATACTTTGAGGTAGGCTCTGTCACCTGAATGCCTTGCAGAGCCCCCAACACAGCACGTTCCACTCACCACTTAAAACCAAACTAGGCCACAGAATAACCGTGTGGCTCTTGAATTTCTCTGGGGGAAATTAACAGCAAATTCCAAAAGCAAGTGCTTCTTCAAACCCCAGTTCATAATGAGCTTCAACCTCTAAAACATGACAAAATAGTATGTGAGTAAAAACATACTTTTCCCCCTTGGAAAAAAAAGTACACAGATTATAATCATATGTAGGTTTCCTATCCTGAATCAAATTCATAGGCTAAACAATTTTGTTTTGGTCACTCAAGTTACTTGAGTAACAGCTAATGAATCATTATGAAATAAGTCAACTTTAGAATTACAATCATCCCAGAAAGGAAACTGTTAACATTTAAAAAAAAATTTTTTTTATTAGCAGGACTGAGGTTTGAACTCAGGGCTTTATGCTTACAAAAAAAGTGCTCTACCACTTAAGCCATGTTTCCAGTCCATGTTGCTCTGATTATTTGGGAGATGGGGTCTCTTGAACTATTTGACCAGGCTGGCCTCAAACTGCAATCCTCCTGATCTCAGCCTCCCAAAGTAGCTAGGATGACTGGCATGAGCCACCGGCACCTGGCTACATATCAAAACTTTTACAAACAAAAATAGTTTCCAAGTATATTCTATATGTCAATTCTGTATAAATAATGAGTATTTTAAAAATATACTGTCCATTTACATTTACACTTCACTTTACAAGATGCTTTCCAAGCTGTTTTCTGTTCCATGGGACAGGAGGGATAAACAGCATCCCTAACCCCAAACAAACTCAAACTCTCCCTCTCTTGGGTGAATGTGAGAGCCTCTGAATCCTGCATGAGGCACCAAGCAAGGAACTGCTGCACCTGCCTTTCTTCTGTAGCTTCCACAGCACCTTTCCATGTGAGACACCTGCATTTCAGGAAGTAAGGGTCGCACACCCGTGGAGTGGGAAGCTGACCTGGGCTCCTAACACACAAGCTCCTGCTATCTCACCATGCCACCTCCTTTTCTGATCGGTGTGATTTTTTTTTTTTTTTTTTGGTAAGTCAGTGCTCTAACAGTGAGGCAATGTGTACTGCCAGGACCTCCGCTTCCAGTTACAGCTTTTCATGGCAGACAGGGTGCATTTCAACCAAGACTCTCCCATCCCTTATCCCAGGGCTCTTTACATACACCCATCACTGCCTTGAGCACTGTAGCATCTGCAACCCAGAGCTTCTAGTGCTAAGTTCAAAATCATGACCCTTGATGGTCTGAACTCCCAAGACCAAAGTACACATCGACCTTGTGAGAAGAGGTGATGGTTTGCATCGCTATCCTGACACAGGGCTCTTTCCAGTCTCCAAAGAAGTCAACAAGTATGTAAACACCTACACATCTTAAAGCGATCATCTCTTCTGGGTGAGAAATGCAGGTTCCTTTGCAGTATCACTGAGTTTCTCCCCGTTCACTCTCCTCCTGTCCTCACCATCCTCATTCACTCACCTGTAGGCCTGCCCCAGGCTTTTATATGCATCAATAAAGTCAACTTTCTGCTTCAAGGCTTCTTTGAAGGCTTCAATGGCTTCCTGTGGAAAGTGTGCAGAAAATTAGTCCATTCCCACACTCTCCCAATTGAGTTCCATCTCAATCACTAAGTGATTTAAATGCACACGTGCCTGGTCTCTGGCAGAATTTCTTTTAAATAGGACTAAAACAGAGAGGTAGAGAATGCAGTAAACAGAGTCAGGAGGACATGATCTCAGCAGTGTGCAAACTCATTACTGCAAGAACAGTAATAGCCTAAGGTATCTCCCTTTTCAAATGAGAAAACAGATTTATGTTTTACCTAATTCATTATGACAGTGAATACTAATGATGTCACCTTCATAGGAATATCATTTCCTTAATTCATAAAGGCCCAATAGGCCACAAGTTACCTAATAGCAATGTGAGATAATTCAAACTGACCTAACTAGTAACATTTAAAATCTGAGTTAACAAGAGACAATCGTATATAAAAGCAGCAAAAGGGCTCCTAGATTGGCTGAGGAATTCCCTTGATTAACAAGGAAAAGGAAAATAAAATAGAAAACAAAACCCCTAAGGTTGGAGCTCTGGGTATGGCCTGTGCCAGCACAGTAGCAGGCAAGAGGCTCAGGATGGAGGTGCTTCGTGGTGCTATGCTGCAGGCCTCCCTTGAGGAACTCAGGGTGCATCTGTTCCTGCCTGATTCTATCTGACAGCGCTGGTAATAGAATGTATGTTCTGTTTAAGGAAAAACATCCTAGGCATAACCTAATACCGCCTGCACTTTCCACTGCTCAATTATTATTGTAATAACAAATTACAAAGACACATCACACTTTCCCCAGGAAAAGATGCATTGCACTAAAGTTAAATGCTATAAAGCATCATGATCCATTTGTAGCTTGAACAAGAAAGACCTGACTTCAGATAATTTCACATCTGACTGGATTGTGGTAGGAGACAGCTACTGAAGATGCTACATGCCTTGCACATGGTAGGCACTCAATAAGTATTTGATGATTTGTAGGGCCAAATAGCTCTGCAAACACAGCACAATCCCAAGTCTTTTTGAAAAAGTCACTGGCAATTTATATCTGGATTCCCCCTTGGGAGGAGAGACACATGGGGAAGGACAGGCAAGACAGGCTGAGACAATGGTGAGGACAAGGACCTACTGATGAAGGACCCCAACTGCATGGCTACTGTTTGACACAAAGTCAAGAATGCACACATTTTAGCACCTAAGAAAGGTTTAAAGACTCCTCTTAATTTGGCTTCCTACCATGGTGTACCCCTTAATCTTTTAGGATTTTTGAAACTACACTCTTGATTGACAAACATGTATTGAGTGCCTACTATGTGCCAGAGACAGCGTGAGGTACAGGGAATACAAAGATGAGCAAGTCATTATCTCTGTCCTCTAAGAACGCACAGTCTAGTTAGAAAGCCAATTATGTAACTGGGTTATTAGCATAAAAATTAAGAGCTACAGTAGAGATAGGAGCAAGTCGCTAGAATAAAGAGAAGGAAGCACTAACTACGCTGGGACGTGAGGAGAGTGGTCTTGGAGACTGAAAAGCAGTCTGGGAAGGAGGGTGTGCTGCAGGGAATGGGCAAGAGGCTCAGAGCCGGGGAACAGTGGAAGGCGCAGGGCGTGTGGGTGGCGGGAGTGGCAAGGGCAGAGACCTGGTGAGTGCCTGTCCGGCGAGGGCGAGGGCGAGGGCGAGGACGGGGTCTAGGGCAGGTGCGGCCTCAGCAGGTGCACTCCTGAGACAGGATGGTGACTCCAGCAGAGAGGGCAACTGGGAAGGAAGAGCATGGAGACAGGCAGCCCAGTTAGGAGTTGCTGTGGCATCTGGGCAAGAGATAATGAAGGCTCAAACTTAGAATCTGAGAAGTGAAAAGGGTCAAATTCAGGGGACTTTTTAAAGGCAAACTGAGATAGAACCTGGTGGCTATTTAGGGTGGGTGGGGTGGAGTGGAGAACAGAGGGTAGGGGAGCTTCTAGGCTGAAGAACCTGGGAGAGGGCAAGCGCATGACCACCACGAGGAGCACAGGAGGACAGCTGAGGGTTGGGGAGGGGTCTGCTGGGGCACGTTAAGCCTGGAGTGTCTGTGGACATCTAGAGGAGATGCCCAGAGGGCACCTGCTGCCCACTCCACTTACAGCATGCTTGGACGCCACAGTTCTTCAAAGTCTGATTCTCTTCAGCTTTTAAGAGTCTTTGGTCTCAGAGTTCCTGTCTAAGCACTGCACAGCTCTCTATCTCATTCTGCCAAAAAGGGACACAGCAGAATCAAGATTTCAAGCCATCGGGAACAAAGAAACTACCATAATGAAGCAAGCTCTAAATGCATCAACGGGTTCAGAATTCATTCGCTTGGCAAATGTGACCACTGACACTCTTGTCACCACCGTCCTCAGTAGCTAGTGGGCAGCACTGCTGTGGGGCTGCTCAGCGACACTGGAGAACAGGCTAGATAGCTCAAGGTGGCGACGGCTGGTGAGAGCAGGTGTTCACCACAAACGACTTAAAGCTTCCTGCCACGTAGGTGAAACAGATACCATTCAACAGAGAAGATCTCGTTGCAATTTCCCTAAGAAAACGCAACATGCCTGACACAGCCATTGAACTGGATGGTTGTAAGAGCTGTAACATTGCCTGCTACCTTCTATAAAGGGTATCTACCAAGTAAAAAGTCAGCCACCTAATTAATTTCTAAATTGCTGTTGGCCTGAACAGACCAGTTTTAGGCTATAAAAACAGCTCAAATTTCTCAGTGCATTTAACACCGCGTCTCCATGGTTAGTAAACGAAACAGGAACATGGGGGCCAAGTTCCTTCATTATGTCAGCTGTTTAGCACTGACAGTTTTCTAGTCTGTAATGGGGTGCTCCTGCTCCTTCTAATACCTCATGGGAATACTGCAGGGACAAATGGGACAACAGGACATCCTGTGACCTGCTGGGACAGGCAGAAAGAGGTCCCACATATGTGCTGTAACTCCTGAGCATAGTGGAAGGAGAAAGGACCAAGTGATCTGGTGAACTGGCTCAGAAAAAGGAAGCAGTGTTTCTAGGTGCTCACGTGTAGATCTGGAATAAACCAAACTGAGTCTCAGCCTTACTCCAATTTGTAGTTAGTCTGTCACAGCTCTTCTCTAAAAATCTCAGCTCCACACAGCCCAAAGAAGCTGCTCCTGGTCCTAAAGCGAGCTTTATAATATCAAAGACAGAAGTCGCTTGTTTGCATCTGTTTACTTTTAAAAATACTCATAGGCTGGCAGTGTGGCTCAAGTGGTAGAGCACCTGCCTAGCAAGCACAATGCTCTGACTTCAAACATCACTACTGCCAAAAAACAAATAAAAAGAAGCAAATAAAACTACTCATAACCTCTTAATATTAATAGGATGGTATTCTCTGTGCCTCAAGTGTTTTGAATGCAGCTTTCTCACTTCAAGTGACTGAGCAAAGAGGAGAAGAACAAGGGGCAGACACAGACCAAACCGGCAAGGCCCATCTGACAGCTGCCCACTGCACATCCTCAGAAGCTGCTCTCCAAGTTCCACGGGGAGAAGTTGGATTTGGACTGCCCTTCAAGTGCTTGTGCTGGGGGTGTGAGGCGCATGAGACAGAATTTGCAAAATTCTTTTTGGTGTGGTTTTTAGTGGGAGAAGAGTCATTTTTTTTAGACTCTATAAAACCTAGATTAAAATTTCACAGGTAAAACAATCTATAGTAACACTTGATTCCTATTTACAGCTTATGAAGTCCTTTTCACACACAGTATCTTATTCAGTCCTCAGGGTCACTTCAAAAGGCAGACAGCAGGGATTCCCATTCATGGATGTGGAAGCTGAGTGTTCAGGTAACTTGTCCAATGGTGCATTTAACAAGGTTCTGAGTGAGAGCTCAGACCAGGACCTTCATGGACAAGTTCAATGCTCTGTCCTTGATTTTCCTTCATCCATGAGCACTTCCTGAGCACCTGGTATGTGACTAGTAGTGTCCTCTACACCAAGGACTTAAGTGTGGCCTCTGCACAGGTAAACCCTCTGCTCCCCACCCCCAAACTCCTATACAGTCGATCTCTGGTGTCACAGACTTGCTGCAGGACCTCTCAGATACAAAAATCCCTTCAATAAAATGTGCAGTATTTATTTACACATCCTCCCATGTACACTGTCTTCTCTACGTGACTTCTGTCATACAAAGTAAATGCTATGAAATTATTGTATTGTACTGTTCAGGGACTAAGGACAAGAAAAAAGTCTGTATATGTTCAGTACAGACACAATTTTCTTTCTGAATATTTTCAAACTATAGTTGGTTGAATCTGAGGCTGTGGAGCCCACGGACACAGAGGGCTGACTGCATGTCAAATCCCCAGTCCTCAGAACTATTTTCACAAGATGTGGTTTTTGGGCACGGAACACTCCCTGCCCTGTGCTGCTAAAGCTCTTCACAGCCTTCAGAGTTCTGGTCAAGGCCACCTTCTCTGCAAAGACTCGCTGCATCTCTCAGACAGAATGACTCCCTTTCCAGAGCAGTTGACTGTGTCTAGATCTAGACAGGCCAGCCTGTCTTTCCTCACGTGGCTGGATCACCCTGCACTAGGGCAGTGACCATGTGTCAGGCCTTGATCTGCATCTGCACGGAGGAGGCCAGGTAAGGGACAGGCTTCCCTGCAGCCTCTGGCTTTGGCAGAACAGCTGGGTCTCTACAGAAACGAGAATGTGGACTTGAGTGCCCAGGCAGGAGGAAGAACTTGTTGTACCTCCCAACAGTCTGGGAAACTTTCCTTTTTCCCTTGGCCTGCTCCCGACACCTAACCTTGGTCCTCAAACCATAGTCACACTGGTCACACCACAAGTTGGCTAGGTCTCCTCCTGCAGCTTGGTCAAGTCTTCTCAGCCCCGGCTGGGGATACAACCAAACTCCTAGCCAGTGTCTCTGACCCTCCTCACCTGGACCACTACATCAACAGAATCTACTTCCTAATTCAGATTTGGTGCAGACTAAGGACCGCTCCCAATCTAGAACTCATTCACTGCTCCTCTAGACCCACAAACAAGTCAAGATGCTCAGCCCTCTACTCCAGACTGAGGGCTGGCCCTCATTCAGCCTATCAGCTCCACCCTAAAGCTCATACCGCCATTTCCACGCACATACTAGCTGTGTTTCCACCTGCCTGTGCCTTCAGTCATGGGCTCCTCTCCACCCGGAGGGCCCTCCCCCTCCTCCACCTTCTGAGCTCTGCAAACTGTACCCTTTGTAAGTGAAAGTCTGACTTCTCCTTCTTATCAACCTTTCCCCCTCTTTCTTTCTGTACCTTCCTCTAGTGACCTGGCAAACAGTAGGAATTCAGCAAATATTTCAGAGTACTTTCTAGAAGAGACCAATTAAGACACCTGAGATGTCATTTTAAAAACATGTCAAACTAAACCTCATTACCCCCCACCTCCCCACAGGAGCAAAGCAGGACCATTGCAGGGCACACGCATTGCAGAACACTTTCACCTTCAGAAGTCCTCTGTGAAAGAAAGTTAGGCCTTTGTACAGCATGGCTGTGGGCTGGTTTCGGTTCAGCTCTAAGGACTGCTGAAAGTCCTCATGGGCTGTCGCGTAATCCTACAAAAAGGAGGGGAAAGATAAAATTGTATTCGTTAGATATTGGAACACCTCCTGCTTTTGACTGGTAAAGAAAAATCCCAATTTGTCCTGTGACCTTTTGGGCTTTAAAGGAATTCTCATGGCCATATATCTTAGCTTAAGGCTTATAATACTTGTAGGTAGCTGGTCTTCACGAAGACTTAATTCAAGTCTTGTCAACTACATAAGGAATATTACTTCAAATACTATTCAAGTGATAATTTATTTGTTAAGATAAACATCACACTGGATATTTCTGAAATAATTAGGCCATGGATCAATCCCACAATGTGTTCTTTTGAGGCTCTTTTCATCTATTTTCTTTTTTAGCAGAAAATGTTATGAAAAGTACTGTAAATCCACAAAACTAACTTGGTGATCTTAAGGGCCACAGTGATTAACAGACTCCTACCAGATGCTGACTCATTATACAGAGGGCTACAAGCGGAAGTCATGCCACCTCATGTCATGGTTCTCAGGCTGAGAAACCCAGACAAAGTTAAGGCACCTGTAGGCTTAATGGTCACACTGACAACACACACACTGCTTCCCATGCTGACACATGAGAGAAAAGCTGAGGTACAATCTATGGACCAAATTTCAGCTTTTCCTTCTTTTTTATGCCAGTGTAGAATTTATTATTGCTGAGAGTGCAAACAAGAAAATAAGATTTTTGGTACTTAATATTCTTTACTGGGTTTAATTTCAGCTAAAGAAAATGCTTCACAACTGCCTTGTAGCACAGACATATCTCAAGGAGCCGCCTTTTGAGATAGAGGGAAGCATAAAGTGCTTATCCTCACAAAGGAACATCTCAGACAAAGCAAATCACCTCGGAAATGAAGTACAGCGTCCCCCGGTGTCGGTACAGCCGGGCCGAGGGCTGAAGCTGAATAGCTTTAGTGAGATCATTCAGTGCTTCGTTAATTCGCCCCAGGGGGGACAGAATCTGCAAATCCAAAACATGCAGTCAGAAAGAGCTCCACGATCAGCCCTACGCTGCCAGTGTCTTTGACATTCTAGCTCCACTCTACCACAACCATTCACAAAGTTACTGCCCTGGCAGGCTACAATCACGGTCCATGTGCTCTGCAGTGGAGCTTGGGGTCAGCGAGCAAGGGCCTCTTGTCTTTATCCAGCCTAGGGGTAGCTGAGGAACCATGCCTAGAGCAACTCCCTACTACTGCCTCACACTCTGGGTAGACCAGACGCTGCTTTTCTTAAAATGTGACCTTTTTTCCTTGACCTATGTTTAAGTCACATTTGATAAATACACATGAAGATGTCAAAATTCATCTGAAAGATAATTTTGAACCATTAGGGCAGACAAATTGCTGGCCCAGTTAGTCCCCATTGTCTTCAGCTCTGTTCTCTGTGAGAACAAGAGCTAAATGGCAATTCCTAGGATCCCAAGTGCTCCATGAGCCCTGCTCTGCAGAGCAGGACGAACACATCCGCACACCTGTGTGCAAAGCCCTAAGCCAGTGGTCTGATAATACAGGTGATACTTCAGAGCCTGAAAAGACAGAAAACCCAAAGGGGTATCAGTGTCCATGCCATCAAGCCTGTGCGCTGTCCATAGCTGGCTTCTACCCGGGGTTTTCTCCTAACAGGTCACTTCCATCCAGTGTCAGTAACTGGCCTCCTATACTAGGAACTCAAAACTGACACAGGAGGGCACACGGACAGGCCCATTCCAACCAGCAGGGTGAGGACTCTCAAGAGGGGCTTGAGGACTCAACAGGCACAAGGTCGGGGTGTCATTTGGAAGGAAGAACAACTACCCAGTTTACTGACCCCCTAGGTCATCAAACCTTGCCACAGACAGCATCAAAATGCACGGTAATGAGTAACTCGCACAGGCTTAGTTATTTTCATCAAATATAGATAATTTCAGATAGAACCAAGAAAAATGTCTCACAATATAACTCCTGAGCTCTATAAATGGGATGCTATAATTTAATTGTGAGTGACATCATTGCAATAATGCCATCAAAGGAGAATACGGTTATATATGTTTCAAATAATTGAAAACCATCATTCTAATTACCAATATCATGTTTGGATAAACAAGTTGGATTGGTTTTGGAAGAACAAGTTTTAAAAGCCTGTTATATATAGGTTTTTATCAAAGCACACTCAGTCACAGCGATTTACTGCAGGGTAGTGTGGGAAGCACCAGCAGGCTCGCCTGGAGCAAATGGTACCACACTGACCACCAGACCAATCCCTCACCCATGAGAGCCTCGGGCAGTGGTGACAAGACCACAGCCACTAACTAGGGTTACAACCCAAACAGGCAGAACTTGAGGAATTATATCAACAAAACACAAAATCCACCTTAAGAGACTGAACTGTAAGATACTATTTTGTTTTGAGAACAAAAACATCACAAATACAGTTCTTAAACTACTAATTGTATTTATTGCTCCTTTACATGCTAGTTAGTAATTTTTCTTTATGAACTGTGAAATCATACGATAGCAGATGATTAAAAACTAAGTTTTACTCAGATGGAGTTCGTTAACATATATGAATCCTGGGTAACTCACTATCACTTGAAGAACACAGTAAAAGAACATACTGGCTTAAAAACATAAAAGAATTGCCTTGGCACTCTCGTCCCACTGTCCCTGGTTTTCCCTCCTCAGGCAGCCTAGCACCTCCCCAGATTCCTCCCCATGTCCACGCAGTAGGCGCTATGGGGACTCCTTCCCCTGCAACCTTCTGCTTCAACCTCAGCCATGGTTCTCTTAAGGTCCGGATACAAATTCCCTTACCTGCTCTATGTGTCTACAAAGACAGGTGCATCTCGTAAGAACTATGCTTGAGTGAATGAGCACACATGCACACTTCCTTTAAGGTCTGGTTATAAGCCTTGTTACCTGCTCCATGCATCTACATAGACAGGTGCATCTCGTAAGAACTATACATGGGCACACATGGGTACACACACACACACTCTCGCTCTCACTCTCTCCCTCTCTCCCCCTCTCCCTCCCCCTCTTCCTCTCCAGTAGAATGAAGGCTGCACATTTCAGCTGGTGAAGTTGTCAACTGAGTTTTGTTAAATCATGTCATGTACACAGGAAACTTCAGTGAATGTTCCTGGAAGTAGCACACATCACAACTGTGTGTTCTGATACTAAATATGACTCATATATTAGGAGCATCAATCAGCTTACAGTTTTAAGTCATGTCAACCATGCTTAAAGACCCTAGGTATCTATGTAAGGAAACGCAACAGGAATAAGGAGCATTAAGATATACAAATGATAAAATAACAGGAAAAAATTCTGACTTTCAACTAATCCAAAAATGACAGAGGGAAAAAGAAAACCACACTCACTTCTGCTCGCTGTTCAAATACCTCTGGGCGGTCTGGTTCCAAGGCAATTACCCGGCTCAGTTCGAACAGAGCAAGCTCAGCGTTCTTAATGTCCTTCAAAAGGCATTAGCTTAGTGTGAGACAGACTGCTACCGGAAACCAGGAGGAAAGATCTTCTGCAAAACTAACAATTTAGCAACGGTAAAACCAGCTGTTCAGAAAGAATATGAACTTGGGTAAGTCGTGACAGGCAATTCTTTAGCTCCTTCAGCTTAAATAGCACACTGGCCCTGGCTGCCTATCCCAAGTTCCACAGGTGGCAGGATCTCATCCAAACACTGAATGCAGAGACAGCCAATCGAAAGGAGCATGTGGATACCAGCCTGTGGAATGAGGCTGGCCAGTGGTGGGAGGACAGAAACGGGCCACATGTCAACCAACACCGTAAACCTGGAGCCTGCACCTTGACCAGTCTGGGTGGGCTCTCTTTAGCATCTGCACGTTACTGTTACATTAAAAGTCACCAACTACAGGTAAAGATGTGAAATGTTACAAGGGCACTTCAACCCGGTCATCTGCTGGCTGATGCATGCAAAGCTGTTTCCAGATTAGACACTTCCAACATTCCTAAGGCTGAGATCCTCCTCAGTCCTCCATATTGCAAAAGTAGTCAAATTTTACATAAGTTTTTTTCCCCAGCACCAGGCCAGCACCAGCTTAATATAATATTTTAAAATTCAATGTTTGAGCAAATTTTAATTGAAATAGTTATAAAAATGTCAACGACATTAATAGAAATGCCCAATACTCCAGACAAAACATCTGGAAAACTGAACCTAGACCATCATGCCTCACTGCATCATCTCAGAGAAATATTCTTACACCGTGGTGGCTTTGTTTGCATAAAGTACGCTTACTATAACCTTCCTGCTGCCTTCCTCAGAGAAATAAGAACTGGCACCTATAAAATAGAGCAAGTAAAAATAAATCTTGCACACTAACAAAATCCTTGCGTTCTTTCATTCAACCAGTAATGACTGTGAAAAGAGCTAAAGCCTAAATCCTACTAAACTGTCAACATCTAGTCTCTGCTTTTACAAACGCAGTCAGATGTAGGCTTTTCTTGGTCTGCATCCAGTTCATTGATCTGACTTCAGAAGACCTGGGCAGAAACCCCTGTCCACCACTTGCTAGCCTTCCATTCCCTTTTCTCATCTGTGTCCCGCCAGAGCAGATGCGGCAGAAGTCTTGCCGCGTCAGGTCGTGTGGGCACGGTGCAAGCGTGACTGTTACATACTCACATGTAGTCCCTTCTTTCCATAGGCTATCCCTCGGCCATAAATGGCACTAACCAGATCAGGCTCCTCCTAGTCAGACCAAAACAGAAACACGTCAAAACCATAAACAAAACAAAACAAAACAAAGAATTAGTTTCTGCTTAATGCACGTGAATGCCACAAGTGACAGCTCTACTTCATGTTAGTACGATAATCCATAATCCCCGACCCAAAGACTAATCAGAAAGCCCATTTCAATTTTTGTTTTTGGGAAAAAAAAAAAAAAAGAACAGAAGGAAGGGCCCCAACATCACACGCACTGACAGCTTCTTTCAGTTATCTTACTCAAAGCACAATCCTCTCCACAATGCTGACTGGCAGGCACACTGGCAGCCACATGCTAAGGAGAGGGAGAGCATGGAGGCTCAGGGGATGAGAGGAGAGTGACGGGTTTACTTGCTTCCTTTCATACATCTATGGATCCCTCAGTGCCACCTAAGGAGGAGGAGGAACTGGTGTGCTCTACAACCTGCTGGAGATCAGCCCAATGTTTTTTTTACTAAGTCGGTCGGAACTGAAACTTAGACCCTGTCTATGGCCTGCTCCCCACTCTCCCACTACCTTCCAATCCAAACGGCCCCAAGAAACACCTGCCTGGCCAACTACAAAACACCTGCCATCTCTAGCCATCAAGTCTCTTCCCGCAGGCTCTTCCCGCAGGCTAGTTACATGAGCTACCTCTGTGCTGAGGATGGGAATGTGTCATCTACACCTAGCCTCTGCCGCCTTCGCCTCTTTTCCAAATCCTTTGCTGCAAGGTCCTGGTGAAGCCCAGGATGCTGGGGAAGACTTTTATTACAGAGCTACACTGGGCTGGGCCCTTGGGAGATGAGTGTGTCTCTCCATTTTATCTGAGATGGCATCTGCCCATATTGTAGGAAAAGAACCAACATCAATGATGAGGAAGTAAAGAGGAGGGTGCAGGCATTCACATTTTCCTAGAAAGCTACTTAAACACAATGCAGAGCATTCACAGCCAGTGGCACACTGCTGGTCATTCCCTGGACAGCACACTGGTTCTACAGTATGTGAGAATGACAGAAATTCGACCCACCAACTCCAGGTTTCTAGCTTCTCCTGGAACCTCAAAAGCTCCACAAATATAGGTGCACGTTTTAGCATTCTCACTAGGCTGAGTGTCACCTGCCTCTGGAGGAGAGGCCTTGCGGTCACCAGTGAGCTGGGCACCCACCCACCACTGCTGCATCCCCTCCACTCACTTCGCTCATTCAAGTCCCCCCTAGTCCATAGCAGTTTTCAATTTGTGATCTGTAACTTACATGTGACTAGCAGATAGGCTGTCCACGTTCTGACGAGGAGGAAGCAGGCAGTCATAGACTACGAGGAATGCAAGGCTGTAACTACATCTTGAAGTAGTGCCTAATATGTCACTATGTATAGTGGCCACTGTGTGCACAAAAAGGCACTCTCTAGAACACTAATGCTAAGTCTCTGGGGACAGGAGGACTAGCTATGTTCCCACTGTTCTTATCATTCCTCTATTTGTTTTCAGTGTTAAACAAACCTGCATTCCTTCATCCACAATAAAAAGATGTTTTGAGTAAGACATATTTCATTACAGAAAATTTAGAAGATGAAAAAAAGCACAAAAATGACAGTGAAGGCAGCAAGGGGAGAGGGAGGTCAGCATGAAACCCTGAGGTCCATGTGGACATCCAACTGGCCTTAAAGTAACTCTCTTGTTACATCACCATGTGTCTGTAGATCTGTCAACCACCTAGGACATGTTGTCTCAACTTTGTTTTCGTGGCAACCAGCACAGACGTCTTCATAGCACCAGGGCAGGTATTATTTATCAAAACACTGACCACATGTGAAGACTGAAGGGTATCAGGTCCAAATCTCCTCTGTGACCTGCTCTTCTCAAGGGGGAAGCAAGCAGGAGACATAGCTAACACCATGGGGTATGGGCAATGGATGTAGGTAACAGTGAGGCAGCTTTTGCAAACAGATGCCCCATGGTACATGGCTCACGGGGAGCCTCCAGTTATAATGGGTGTAACATACTTGTAGCCATAAAAAATTTTAAATCTTAAAAAAAAGAACCACTCAAAACCTTCTAACAGGTACAATTCCTGAATACTGACAAGTTCCTGAATGCAGTCTCCATCACCTCAGCTCCAGGATCTCATGTACCACGCAGTCCCCGGCTCAGGCCTCCCGGAGCCGCCCGCCCCACGGCCTGACCACAGCTGCAACACTGTATTAGCTACTGTAGGCAGCTGCCAATACTTAGGTTTTCTATATTCAGTTTACTCTGTCTTGTTGGAAATTTTTCTAACAGTACAGAAGGATGTATGTAATTTCAGCTATGATTATATCTGGAGTCTAGTATTCATTGTCCCTAAGTTTAAGTTTTATTACTTCTTAAAGCTGATATAATTTCATGTACTTGTTTTATACCTCATTAAGTTTGGATGTTAACAAGTCAAAACTTTATGGAGTATAGTAATTAATTATTGTTTATTTTTTTTCAAATAAAAGCTAATATTTATTTTTAAAAATAAGTTGGGATCAGGGTATCAATGCTTCATGCTAATTTTGAGTGTACCAGTCTAGTAAAATTTAATTTTCTAGTTTTCAGAATGTAACTAGGTGAAGGAAAACAGCATCTGGTCTCCAGCCTGCCTTGGTTGATGCACAGCACATCAGGAGACGAGACGGCGCGTGAGGACTCAAGGGCACGCAGATGGACGTCTGTCTGCTCCGTTACTTCACACTGCTACTTATGTATAAACATTATCTTTCCACCACAAGGCTGGCTTTTTACTAAAACTAAAAAGTCACTGTGTCCAAAGACAAGTCAAAACAATCCAGAACAGTGAGATTAAATTCTGCCTCAGTGGCAGACTACATTTACAAAAGGATGTCTTTACATGTCTCCCAGAGGAACATCTTCAATCCTATTTGCTGATGTAAAGTAAGAAGCAGATTCTCTGTGAATTCAGCTCCACCAAAACTAGGTGAGCTGGAGGTCACAATATCAACAGCAAAGGCCAAATGCCTCAAGAAGTTGCTGAGCATTCATCTTACCAGCCCTGCATGGGAATCAGGCAACAGCCCCCTTCAAGAGCACTGTTCCCACACACAGACCCCTGTAAGTGACTCTCAAGTACTGGTGGGGGTCAACTCAAGCCCTTAATGCCAGGAGGCATCCTCAAACCCAGAACCCTCAGAACCACGATGCACGAGGGGTATGCGTTCCATGACAGAAGCGTCTGAAACACCACTAGGGTTGAACATTCAAGAGAACACTGAGACCACTGGGATGGTGGACATCTCAGAGGTTTGCACCCTGATGGTGCAGCTGTGGTGACACAAAGGTGGACAAGCTCATGTCCATCTTATGAAAATAGCAACTCTAACAAAATCCAAGTTCCTGTAGTCACACTTGTGAGCTTTCCACGAATGAAACTGACTCCCTGCTCTGCTGCTTCGTGCTGAATACAATCACATTCTGCGTAAAGGGTCTGAGCAAGTGTTGCTGAACTCAAGAGAGTCAGACATGTGTGGTGACTCACAGCTGTAATCCTAGCTACCGAGGAGGCAGAGATCAGGAGGATCATGGTTAAGGGCCAGCCTGGGCAAAAAGTTCATGAGACCCCATCTCAACCAATAAAATCTGGGCACGGTGGCGCACACCTGTCATCCCAGCTATGAGGAAAGTATAAGAGGATCAAGGTCAAGGTCAGCTTGGACATAAATGTGAGACCACATTTGAAAAATAACTAAAGCCAAAAGGGAGAGTGATTCAAGTGGTAGAATGCCTACATAGCAAGAGCAAGGCCCTGAATTCAACTCCCATAACAGAGAGAGAGAGGGGAACAGAGGGGAAGAGAGGGGAGTGGGGGAGGGGAGGTGTGCAAGGACAGTTACCACACTGCAGATCAGTTAAGGACATCTACTGTCTGAACACACAACTTTTGCACATATGGAAGGTCCTTCAAGGAACAGATATAAAGACATGCTAACATTAGTGCTGACACAAATGATTCTCTAGCAGTATCTGGCTCAGTTACAATCTGAAGAGTAAAAATAGATAGCAGAACAATACCTTGAATGCTTGAGGAAAAGTTCACCACCATTTTTAAATAGTGGAGGTGAAAATCCATTTCATTACTGCAGGGTTTTACCACTGCATTTGCCAATACAAGGAAAGGAAAGCATTTAGCTTTAAAAAGTGATCATACTTTCAAAACAAAACTTAGAGAGACTGATTTATGCAAATTATAACATTCCACAGTGAGAAGTTTGGGTTTGGGTCAAGTGGAGAGGCAGTAAGTACCCTTTGGACATCTGCTGCCACCTACTTGTGCAGTGTCATGGTGACAACAGCTACAGAGAATTTGAAGAAATGAACAGGAAACTCTTAAGCAAAAACTATGTGCATCCATTTCAAACATAAACCTTTGTCCAGAAAGAGGACTGAATTGCTTACTTGTTTTCCATTTCTTATCACAATTATACACTATAAAGAAAATGTGATAAATCCCACCACAGTCCACCTGGACACCCCGCCTCTGCCCCTGCTCACACATTGTACCAGGCAAGTACAATTTTCCACACGTCATCATGAGGAAAAGGCTGGGAAGTACAAAGAGAAATCACCAAGAAAAGCACCAGCCAGAGAGCTGAGTCTCTCTTCCTGCAACACAAAAACACAGTATAAAGGACCTCCATCCTCCGTTCAGCATTTGACCTTCAGCTATCTACTGCTTCCTGCCTCATCCAGGGCCCAAGTCCTCAGAAAAGTAGGCTGACCTTATAACCCACACACTCCTGGAGAAAAATTCCCAGGTGAAAACAACCTAGCACATCATGGACTGATGAGAGCACTGTTTCAAATCCCGATATAGTACTATCTTTTCTTTGCACAAGCAGAGAAACTATGTTTCTGAACACAATGCCAAGCATGTTCCACAGCTATAAACAACAATGCAAAGGCAACATTACAGAGCTACTGAAATCAAAGGTTGTCAGAGACTAGTGGGCCTTGGTGAGACCCTGTCTCAAAAGACACAGAAAGTATACAAACAATGAACTTTTACAGCAGTAAATTAAGTAAGTAACACAAAACAGTATCTATTCAGGTTATAAAAACACAAATGAGTTCTTCAAAAGGTAACAAAATTTAAAATAATGTTAGCATGGTAGAGTTAGGAAATTTTAAAAAAACTAGACAACAGGGTCTTGCTATATGGTCCAGGCTGGCCTCAAACTCCTCAGCCTCTGAAGTACTGGGATTACAGGTATGTACTGCCAGGCCCAGACAGGACATTTAAAAATTTTTTCCTTTAACAATGATATAACTACAACAAAAATATTTTCAAAATGTTGAAAAGTGTTGGTATTACAAATTAACTGATACGTGCTCCTACAAATGTGTCAAACCCTGCCTTTCAATGGGGGCCTTATGTTCACTGTGTAAAGTCTTACTTACCTTTTATAATATCGCAACACTAAGCAGAAAGGCAATTTCAAAAACTATTCACAATCTACCTTTGCATTTCAAGTTGCACTGAAAGATATCATTCCATGTGATCACCCAAGCACACAGCTGTTTGATCTAAACCTCAAAGTAATAACCAAACATATCTCATCAGTTTGTTGAGAACACATAGAAAATTATCAGCATAAGCCAATATTTAAAAAGGAAAGCAGAGTTCAGTTTTCAAGGTCAGAATCAAAGTTAAGCCTACCTGCTGGACTACAGGGTCTCACTGTGATCCCTGATATGTTTATTAGAACGGCACTTTGAGTAGCAAAATCCACAGGCACTGGGTGTGAGTACTTTGCAGGGTATTTCATTTAAACCAAAAAAGAGGGTTTGGGGAAGTAGTTATTATCATCCCTACCACAGGTCACTTGGTTTGGTAGCAAACAGCAGAGTGGATTTCAACTTGGCTGTCTCTACCTCTAAACTCCAGGCCTTCCTCACAAATGGATCCACAAATGGTGGCACACCTACAGCACCACGGTCCCAGTGACGTGGGGCAGAAGGCCATTGACATTCAGCCACTGTGAGTCTCCTCTGCGACCGATACAGGTATGCTTATGTTTTCTCCCCTTTTTAAAAAATTTTTTGCAGTACTGGGGGTTGAACTCAGGGCCTTACACTTGCTAGGCAGGTGCTCTACCACTTGAGTCATGCCCCCATCCCTTTTTGCTTTAGTTATTTTTCAAGTATGATCTCACATTTTTTTTGCCTGGGATGGCCTGGATCATAATCCTCAATTTCTACCTCCCAAATAGCTGGGATTACAGACATGAGCCACCACACCCAGCTTTGCGTGTGTGTGTGTCTGTAACAGGGTCTCACTATGTAGCCCGTGTTGGCCCTGAACTCACAACCCTCCTGCTTCAGGCTTCCATGTGCTGGGATGACAGGCCTGTGTCACCATTCCCAGCACACGTTTTCTCTTAACAGACTTTAATACAGCCACAAATCAACAAAGGCTAAGGCTAATGCTCCCACTGAGGAGTCTCTTAATTATCCTTCCAGGTGAGAACCAAACCCACAAGCAGAAACTGAGTTAATCTGAAAACCCTGCCCAGGAAGGAGCTAGAATTCAAAGACCTCTAGCATCCACATCTCACAGAGGTTCCATAGTAGAGGAAAGTGGCCTGAAGCTATAGTCTTTTGGCCCTGCAAGTGCATGCCATCTCTGCTGCCTGTAGGTTGGAGGACTGAGTACACTGCTTGGGATCCTCAGCCTTCCTGTCTCATAAGGCCTGGCACCCACAAGGCCTGGTACTGGTTCCTTAGTTCCCTGTACAACCCTAATACTGAGATTGCACTGCATGACTTCAGGTATGCATGAGTACACACTTCTGTCATGATTATAAACTGTAAATTCCATAACTGAGAAAGATTACCTGAAGCATTGTTGAAAAATGACGTATGGCTTCATCATAGAGACCGCTGCCAATCAGCACATATGCAATAGCTGGAAAACAAAGCCCATACATTAGAGGAAGAAGAAAGGGGCCCAGCGAGCATTAGTAACCGAGTTCTCTGCGCAGTCTCAGAGGCAGTTCAAGGACTGGGTACAGTTAAAGAAAGCTCAGAAGTCAGTGAATGAGATGCCACTGAGTTCTTCCACTTTCTCCACCCAGTACTTGCTCACCAGCCATCCAATGCCACCTGGATGAAAACTATCAAAGCCGTCTATAAGCGATCTGCCTTTCTAAATGCGTCACTCACTCTCAAATCCCAGTAACCTCTGCGACCTCTCCCGTCTATATGTCAAGAGCTAGTAGTGAGCTTGAGGGAGATCCTTGTGGCGTGGCATCATGATTAACTGCTCACATTATGGGAAACACCTAAACAGCACCAGAAATCTTAATTCCTGGGAGTGCTGACTTACTACCAATTATCTAGCAAGAGCAAAAATAGGATCTCAAATCAACAGACACTCCTGTAAGGCTTACCTATGGATAATCTACAGCACTGCCATACGAGGACAGTCTTTTTCTGACTTTTTCTAGTCAAAACACTGGTCAAGGTACACTCTACAGATGAATAGTTTTTGATCTAATTGTTTAGGAAAGCAGTACTTTGAAATTAAATTGGCAATATTCTGACAAAACTCTCTCACGCACCCAAAAAAGTCAACAAATTGGAATATTCTAGATTATTTTTCCACCTACAATATTTGCCCTAGCCCCTCAGACCCCCAAAACTTCTGAAAACACTTTCTCACTCAACATGACTGTTTAGATCACATTTCTTTGCAAAAAAAAAAAAAAAAAAGTTTTCATGTACTACTGTCCAATTCTAGTACCTAATAGATCTCCAAGTAGATGGGCAACTGTCATGTCCACTGTCACTAAGGGCTTGTACTTCCTGGCAGTTACAAACAATGAAAACACTACACACAGTGCAAACATTACATGAAGAAAGAGATTACTCTAAATCTAAAGATATTCTCAAGTTTTAAAAAGTGAGCATCATAAGAGCTTTTGGAAGCATTCTTCCAAATAAAAAGGGCTATTTTTATCCCCCGTTTCTTTGAAGAGATAAATTATGGTCAAGCTCATGTTCAAAATGACCAGAATGGACACATTCAGAGAGTGGCCTGCAGGTACCCAGAGGCCTTGCTGGGGCGGGGCAGAAGCGGTGTTGGTGACCATACAGCTACTATACTGCACTCTTCACATGGCTGAGCATGCTCCTCCACTGTTACAGGTAAGCTCCTCTACTCCCTAACCGCAGTGAGGTGTGCATGGTCATTACCTCCACTTGCAGACAAGGAAATGAAGCAGGCTGTGGAGCCTGCCTTCCTGCCTGCCTGCTACACTGAGACAGACCACTGAGTGCTGGCTAGGTGCAGAGTGGCTAAATCTCTTAATGATCAGGGGAGCTGGAACTGATTCAGAAGCCTGCATTTCCAAACACAGGAGATGGTGATATTCTAGCCAGCCATGTGATCACAGGACCTCAGTCACTTCTCCCGACTGTCTGAGTCTTGCTGAGCAAGCCTGCAGAGATTTTTCTTAAAGGCTCTTTCAGGTCTAAACTTGTTGGATTTCTTACCTATCGTCCCACAGTCAGTGATATTTGGTTGAACAAATGAGTAAGTGAGCTATAAAAACAAACACAATTTCAGGAAGATTCTATGCTTTAGAATGTATTTAAATCTATCCATAGCCTGGCTAGTGAATTCCACTCAAAGAAGATCAAACGCAGTTCCCAAATCTTTCCATCTAGAGGTAAACATTTTGCGAGAAAAAACCCAAATTTAAAAAAGATCCCAATCCAAATGTCACACAAAAATAAATAACTGTTATAAGATCTAAATTTTGTTGTAAGAATCCAAAGTCATAAAGGAAAAACTAGAATAGCTCTAATTCTGATGGAAATCTCAACTAACCAGCAACCCCATGTCTCCTGGCAACAAGTATGTTGTCAGAGCATACAAGACTCCACACCAGCTCAGGGCCCATGCTACCCAAGGCCTGCTAGCTAAGGTTGCTCATGAGGATACAACAGACTGGCACACATCAGGCCCATAACTAATTACTTAGTTAAGGAATACTCCAGTGAACAGAATCCAAGGACTTCAGAGCAGACCAAATCTGATGCTTTCTCAAAGCCTCCTCCAAGAACTTCAGCAAAGAGTGATGAGCTCTTCAAGACAGTCTACCCTCTGTGATATGCACTCGCAGAGAGCAATGAAAGAAGGGCTCTGTGTTACCATAGAGCATCGGCAGTCAAAATAAGAATATAAAGATTATGCAAAAAAGAATTCCTGCCTATGGGGCAGCGCCTTGGTGAGGTGTCCCGTTCGCTGCCCACTCTGCACTCATTTGTTTCTATTCCTTCCAGTGTAACCTCACTGAGCAATGAGGGCCTCAGCTACTGTACTGCTCAGGTTGGTAGTGCCACCCTGTTCTAAAATGTGCCACAAACAAACAAACTACATGACTCATCTGCAGATCTGAATGAACTCCATCTTCCTAAAGCCACGTTCAGATCCAATAGTCATGTGCTGGCCTCACAATAAAATAAACCTGGCTCTCTGACCACACAGGAGACTGGAGTACTTCTGACACTTGACTCTGCTCTCACTTCTCTGTCGTTCACATGGACGACAGCACACAAATCCCCTTCTGACGCACGCAGTCCACATGTTCACACAGACACAGGGCTGGACGGTCCTTACCGACCATCCCATCTAAGCTCTCTTCCCCAGGAGGGCTGGATGTTGGATGCTGCCACATCCATATGCAACAGAGAGTGGCAGAGCCTGCCTCTGTGTTCTTTCTTCCTCACCACCCACCTTCCTGTGCTGCTTGTAAGCACGAGCTCTAGGCGAACACGACAGAACACCCTGACCCAGGTCTCACCTAACTCTTCATTCGTGCTGTCATTATCAGTGGCAAATGGGAATCTCCTCTGTTCTGCAATTGTCTTGGCTGGCTCTGAAAAACAAACACATACATTTTAGCTTATGATAAAAAAGAAAAACCTGTATTAAAAACCTGTATTTCAAAGTTACATTTAGTTTAAACAGAAGGAACAAAATGTTTGCATTAAGTCCTATTAGTTACATACTTCAAGAAAATGGTTTCTGGGCTGGGGGCGTGGTTCAC